AAGTACAGGTCCATTTACCATTCAGAAAATAGTATACAGTACATAGATTTATTGTGTTTATCTAAGATAAGACTAGTGTTTGCACATTTTGCACATTCCTGCACAAGCTGAACAGTTCTTTCATTTAAATAAAGGTAATATAGTACATTTTGTTTTATAAGGTTTTTCATATGTTATTATCAATTTTCTGTTTTCTACTCTGTTTTCTACTCATGCTTCTTGACAGGCAGTACTTGTTTTCATATTTCCTCATAGTACTATACTATTGAAATATAGTAGTATTTTGCCCCCACCTTAGCCCATGTATGACCTGCTGACACTTGGGTCAAACAACCGACGTGGTCAGGCTTCGACACCCAATGCAGGCACCTGGAGCAGAAAGTCTGGCCAACCATAGAGGTGCCTGCATTAAGGACATTACACCCAGCACTTTGCAGCTGATTAAAAACTGTGTCTTCAACTGCTAGGCTAGATAATGTGATCACAGTTTGTTCTGGTAGTTTCAGCTTAGCTAAGCCCCTATTCAAATTGCCTTTGCTCTTCCAAACTGACATTTTTGTTTGAATAAACTTATAATTCTCAATGATCTCCACTGATAGGACACAGAAGTTCACAAACAGATGAACAAAGGAGATGAACGTGCACAAGAAAACTCCACAATGCATCTTTAACTACTGCTGTCTAATGTTAAGGGATTTGGATTAATTGACCTACATTTTTACAAAACACAATGGTCTGCAGGTAATAGTCCCATATCAGTAAGCCATTACTGTGGTATTTCCTTGCCAGTAACTTCAATAAAATATAGCAGTATTGTGCTGATTTCAGTTATTGCCATGACAACAAGAAGAAATTTCTTATGGGCAGTCACAAGTCGAGGATGCCAAAGCTTTACTGTAATAGGGCAGCAAACGGACAGAGCTTGCCTGTAGAGGAACCAACATAAAATCCAATGGACAGTAGCCATTTGGCCACAGAAAAGTCAAACTCCTCTGCACAACTGATGAATGCAATCTATTGGAGAGCAGAGAGTTCCCCTTCAACCTTTTACCAGAAGAGGAAGCTGGTCAGCTTGGCAGAGGTCTGCCTATCCATCTCAGCACCTGCACACACAAGACAGGACCTGTAGCCAGGAAGTGGAGGAGCAAGAAGACATACTGATGAGGGACAAACCCTTGATCAGCCGGGTCTGACTAACCCTAGCAGTTAACCCTGCCAACTATGTGGTGGTGGTATAGAGGTATACAGAGAGGCTTAATAACCCAAATACAAACCCCAGTCAGAAAGACACTCCATCAGCTGACTAAGTGTTAGATATTTTAAATATTTCAGGCATGTAGTGTGCAACGCATTGAGTGGTCAAAAGACTAGAAAGGTGCTATGTAAGTACAGTCCATTTACCATTTAAATAAATTTTAAAAATCATTGTGGTATGTGCAAAAGCTTGGGCCCAATAGTCAGTCAATAGTTTTACAGGGTCCCATAACCTAATTAGCTTGTTAGGCCTGAGGCATGTCAACAATTGTTAATATGATATGTAAGCTGGTGCCAATTTCAAAGCTTTACAAATACTCTTGTTTACAGAACATCCCAGTGTGATGCCAGCTGATTTTGGCTTATCTTAGACAGATCGGCATTGTCCTGGTATCAGTGTATATGCTATCTGATATGCACTGATTTTTTCTGGTAAAAATGCTAGTAGTAATTTATTGGTGTCACTGCAAAGTTTATCCAGCAGAGTGCACTGCAATTACTGTGGCAAGCAGAGTAAGAGAGAAGAAGCATCTCTCAGCATGAATTAGAATTGGTTGACATATTAAATAAATATTAAATACATATTAAATATTCTTTAATGAAGTTGTTTGTTTAAGAAAGCAGTCTTCTGAGTACCTTTGCATAGTCACACCCATGCAAACACAATTGTTGCACAATCCACAAAAAAAAAAGGTCTATTTTCATTCCACCTCAAAATTCATATCGCCATATCAGTACTCTGTGATCTTTCCCCCTCTAAAATGTATATCGGATATCATATCGCTCACATATTGTGAATTGCCAGTCTACTGGTTGTCATTATGCATATGCATTAACCAAATTACTGCACCTGTTTACAGTACACTTTATTCATTTTGCAATTACTGTTCACCTGTCTACAACAGTATATTGATTTTATTTTATATTTCATATATTATACTTTTGCACCATTTTATGTCTCTATATATAGATTCTCATTTTTTTTTAATACATATTTTGTATATTTGTAGTATTGTGGAAGGAGTCTCGGAACTAAGAATAACGAAAGAAAAAAAAGAAGAACGTGAAACTTGAAAATTGTTGTGTTAGGACTTCAGATAAAGGAGAAAACAGCTGTAAGGCACGTACACGTCGGACTTCAAATATAACTCAGAGTCCTGTCACGTGCAAAAGTTCGCAGACGACACGGCTATTGTGGGCTGTATCAGGGGTGACCAGGAGGAGGAGTACAGGAAACTCATTCAGGACTTTGTCACATGGTGTGACTCCAACCACCTGCGCCTCAACACCACCAAGACCAAGGAGATGTGGTGGACCTCAGAAGGCCCAGGGCTCACCCGGAACCTGTGACCATCAACGGTGACCGTGTGGAGTTGGTACAGACATACAAATACCTGGGAGTACACCTGGATCAACTATTTGCTAAAGATATGGAGTAAAAGTATTATTTTGACCAAAGCGGAGCTGGTGATTGTTGGAACAAGGGAAAGACAGTTTTGGTAAGTTTTATTTTGTTTCTGTCAAAAGCAGCTTAAAAAAAGGTAAAAGCAAAGGTTAGGGTTATTTGGATATAAGAAACAAAATAAATAAATAATAATTTTTCAATTTGAAATAACTGTCCTTAGCAACAGTTAATAATGATGACACTAAAATGGTTCATCCACAAAAGCTGTTGAACTGTAAACGACTGTATTCATGTAAATTAAATGACATTAAATGAATATTTCTTGCACAGAAGTGTCTTTTCTTCGTTTAAGCTTTAAGGTTTACCGGCATTCGTCTCTTTGTGCATAAAAATAACTTAGAGGAAGTAAGCCGGGACAGGTTTTTTCACCTCCATGTCTGTTAAACACAACTGGAAGAATGACAGAAGACACAAACTGTCTGTGAAGACAACATCCTCCTTTTCTGATAAAAATATATATTGTGACCTCATGTATGTGATCGACCTGCTGATTGAACAGAGACGTGAGGAGAAGCTATGAGTTTAACAGCAGCAGCGAGTGGATTTGTTGTCTT